AAGTTAGTCTCAGGGTTTTGTTTGCTGTCATTGTTTACTATTTTTGTTGTTGCCTTTGAGGACAATTTAATCGCTGTTGACATACGTGGTCTTTTGGTGACAAACATGAACTTTTAAAACTGCTGCGCAGATTTCAATAAGGATAGGTACAAAAGCATGTCTTTTTTATTTTGCTTTTTAGTCTATTTGTAAGGCTATATGTTTGCTGTAGAGGGAAGAATTGATTGTCTAATTTCTGTAAAGGATTTTAAAATATATCTGAAGTGCCATTTATGTAAAGTTAGAGATATGGCAGGACAAGCCATTGAGTGTGAAACAGAAAATTCCAGTCAACTGATGAGCCCCCCAGGCACAACACAGAGGGCTTTATAATTTTCTTCTTTAAAGTAGTTTCTAGATATTCCATTATCATGACAGTTTTTCCAAGTCTGGATCCTCAAAGTTACCTTTTCCCTGCACTGCCCAAAATAGAAATTTCAGTTCATCCCTGCCTGCCTGTGGCAGGAATAAAGCAAACGCAATATTCAGTCTCTTCCCAGATTACACAGTCCATAATAGAATATCATCATAACTTCTTTCCAAAGCAGAATATTCATCCAATTAAACTTGGATATGTTTTAAGAATGCACACAATGAAAAAGATAATTGCATGGTTGTCAAAAATTATGACTAACAAGATACGGGAGAGCCTCATAAGATAATTCTTATAAAAAGATTAACATTTACCATGTACTACTAATGGAACATAATTGTAAGAAATTTAAAAATAAACAGTTGGAAAAATAATAAACATTCATTGCATGTAAAATATGGAACCAAAATGAACTTTAAAATGGTAGAAAAACACATTAACACAATAAATTTGCTTATTCAACATAGGGATATGGCCTACTATACGGAAATTAGTTTCTTTAAACACTTGTTTTAAAAAAAGAAACGTTTTTCTTTGGACTCTGTTGTGTCATGAGGTTATTCTATAAACAGGTTTCTATTGTAGACCCTCACTAAAAGTCAAAACTTTTAAGGTACAGTCCTCACACACATACATAAAAAAAAGTCAGGGAAAACCTTTCACACATCCCGAAATAGAGAAAATTGCTAAAGAAAGGAAAAAAAAGCCCCCTTGACAGATAAGCAATAACTCTGCTTACACAGTAATTTATGGTAATATCAGAAAGCTTTTGATAAAACTTCACACATATTGCAGGGTAGGACACTGGAAAAGATTTAAAAAAAGAAAAGACCCAAAGAGATAGGGGAAATTAAACTATTTATAGAGGGGGAAGTATTTTGTAAAAGAAAATTTGGCAATTGGTTTTGATAGTCATAACAATTTATGTAATTTCTATGTGCATTGGGGACTTGCTGTCTGAAAAAGTGGCAAGCTAACATTTTCTCCATTATTACAAAAAGTCATTTTTGAGAACAATAAATATGAGAAGGTTTAAAATATATATATTTCTGTGTGTGCGTGTGTGTGTGTGTGTGTGTGTGTGTCATAAACTATACACATAGTAAGACATCTGGTAATATTTGTGAGCCAAATAAATTTCTATCATTTGTTTAGTTTAGATCTTTTAAACTCTCATTTTTATTTTATTTGATAGCAAATCAATTTTCCAATAAAATAATTTTGCCTTTGGGGTATTATAATGAAAAAACAATTTAAAATATATTTCTATAACTACTGAAAAGTACTTTCATGCTAGATATGCAGTAAATAAATGAAGAAATATTCACATGAGTTGCACTTCCTTTCTTGTTATCAAAAAAATAATGAGCCTTAATTTACATATTTCTCCATCAACCCCTTAAGCCCTTATTAAGGTCAAAGCTTGAATATATTTGTTATTCTACAGAATTTTATATTTTGAAGTTTAAAGTACTATTTAGTGCTCTGATTTCACTTTCTATATTAAAAAATATATAAATGAAATCAATGAAGACTTTTTAAATGAATTTCCTTATATTCTTCAGTGACCATTTTAAATAAACTGTCCCTGATTTCCTCTGAACTTCAATACATCTTTGGCCTGTCATTGTCATTCTTAATCATTGATGTCTCAATTCAGTCTCCGACAACAACCACTACGAAGCTCTTCATTTCAGGAAACTGAAAACATTTTGTCATGCAAAAAGAGCATATTATGGGAACTCTAGTTACTTGTTTTTAAAGAAGACTGACAAGAAAATTTGGATAAAGAAATGCAAGTCTGTCTCTGTTCTCCCTAATAAATCTCACTTGAGGCAGAGCTTCAATGAGTAGTTCTGGAAACTTCTTAAACAATATACATATATATCACTGACCTGGATGGTCAACCATTTCAAGCTGGCCAATGCTTTTCAATAAAGATAATATCAGAATCTGAAGGAACTGGTTTGAGTTTCTAAAGTATTTTGAGGAAATATTTTGTGAGAATGGGAAGCATATTTTAATGCCATTCACATGTTTCCCTGATAACGAAAGCTGATCTGCAAGGGCGTTGAAAGCATTACAGGCTAATTTCATTGCAATGTCGGGGTCTGAGAGGGAGGTGAGGAGAACCAGGAGTTGGGTGGGGGTTCAAGAGCATCAAGGTGAACATGGTTGACCCACTGGAAAATCACTAAGTGCTGGAACCGACTCTAGAAGGTTCATGTTTTGAGCCTTTATGGCAATTGTGCAGCTCTCTTGAAAATTTACACTGTCGTTTTATTTATAGCAGATGTCTCTTAAAGCAAACATTTTTACTTCATACTATACAAATATTACGGAACATTGCAAGCATAATGTGGAGTTTTGGTTGTGCCGTAGAAATCTACAGTATTTTCTATAATGGATTATAAGCAAGGGGAAAAAAACTGATACTGATCTAAGGCTGAAGGATAAGGGGTAATCAAAACAAGGCTTCTGCAGATACTTTTATGAAACTTGTTTTCAAAGAAAAGGCAAAAGTTGAAACTGTGGATTAAACCAACTAAATTAAACTATTGTGTATTCAAAATACATTCGGCACTTTAGAATAAAATGACCAGAAGCCAGGGTGAGGCAATTCCACTGTCTGAGCTATTCAAACAAAAGAGTGTTTATTTGGATTTTCCTAAACAAAATTTGTATTTGATTCTTGTGCACACCCAGTGGGAAAAAGTATCTAAATATGTATTTCGTTATTCTACCAGTTCTGAATTGTAGTTCTCTTGTGAACTGATTTTGATATAGTGACTAAAATGTATGCTCTGTGGCTGCTCAGTAATTGCTGAACTGCCTGATGGAAAAGTTTTAGATCTGAAATTTAGCTCTTCATATAAAATAATATGAAATATAATGTGCAATTAACGGAGAAAGTAAATTCTGTTTAGAAACAGAATTCAAAAATAGAGAATTACATACACTTTGGAAATTAAAATCCATATAAGTAAAACCTGTATTTCTGAGAATTCGCTGTTTCTTAGGCATGATTTATAACAATACACATTTCAAAAAGGAAGTCATTAAAATAATGTGGCTGTTATGTTTTCACAGGCCTTTTTGAGAGTTTAACCAGTACAACAGAATAATCTCCCTGGACTCTAAAAACACAAATCCGTGACAAGGACATAAGATTGATGGAATTTGTAATCATATATTTTTACTTATGTAATAAATTTGTAATTTCAAGGACATTATTCAAAATGACCACACTGCATTACAATGTGTGGATTCCTGTGCTGTTTTGCATTAATGTGTGCAGAAAAATTTTACACTTAATCTGCCATTGGTGCTTCAGTGGGTTGCTTACCATTATAATTCTGGTCACAGATGAGGGTTAAAATATCTCTAACCTTTACAAATGTATTATGTGGCACCACTGACATAGCTTTCATTGCAGATAAAATCTATGGCAAATTTTCTGTGTGACAAAAGAAGAACATGATTTCATATTAAATTCTGATGATAGAGACATATTTCTCTACTAGTACTTCTGAAATGTTTTGGATATAGTAACAACGGACAACACTTCCTCTTTGAGTACATCAATAAAAACCTCAAAATCCACTTCATTTTTATGGGTCCAGAGCTTCAGTAAATATTTCTTAAGCAGAACTAAAAAACAGTGTGAAAAATGTTCAGAATTCAGCTCACTTCTAACCTTGCTGATCAAAACAGACAAAACATTCAACTGGTTCAACATAATGAGAAGCAGAAAGAGGAAGCCACAAAAGAGACTGGAAATTGAGTGTTGCCATGAAGGTGTACAAGAGCTCGAGCAAAAGTTTCTCAAATATAAGCATCAAGATAATAGTAGGTCCCTCTGACAATCATTTAAAAGAAAGAATAACGCCTATTATAGTCAGTTTAAGGAGTTATAAAAGCACTTGAGTTTTCAGGGAGTCATAGACTTGTGAAATGTTTCTGACATTCCATCAAAAAACTGATGTGATGACATCATTATAATACATAATCATACAGGCAAGGAATGATTAGAAGTAAATTCATAAGAGCATTTTTTAAAAACAAATTTCACATTGCATTCCAGACATCTTCTTTCTTCCTTCTTCCCTTAGATTGAATGATTAAGAGAAAGGTAGATAGAATTGTCTCCTGATTTCTTTTCTGGACAATTTCTTAACAAATGAGAATTCTATTGGTCCGCATTTTTTTTTTCATGTTTTGTGATTGTCAAGAACTTTACATAAATCTATGTCTGATGATACAAAGTGTCTAATATTGTACTGAACCTCTTCAAAATTACCTATTCAGGGGAAAGTATCCCTTTAAACTGCCAGGATGCCTCACAGCTATCAGGGGCTGTGTGGACTATGTTTAAGATTCTTGGGGATCTGCTGAAGTTGAGTCTTCATTTTTTGCTTTCTCTGCATGCCACTAGGGACTTCCCTAGACTATTTGAGGAATAGGCCTTTAATTGCAAGATTACCAGAAACCAGACCCAACGAGCTTGGAGTAGCAAACAGTCAAAATGCAACCCCCTACGCAATAAAAAAAAAACAAAGAACAAAAAAAAAAAAAAGTGACATGTGGCTTTAATTTTATTTCATTTATTTATTCTTTCAATTTATTTTTAAAAATTCTTGTCCATTGCTTCAGCCTTTGGGCCCATGTGCATAATAAAAAACATTGCTGGGAATAAATAATACATATTAACTCTGTCTATTACGATTCCCCCCCTAAAAAGTCCATCAAAATGACTTATTTTATAGTAAGGAGTCTCAATTGCAAGTCTATTGGTAAAATAATTCTATTAAATTGTATGATATTTCTAACATCAATTAATTACATTTATATCTAGCTCTATAGTGTAATGACTCATAATATTAATTGTGATTTTAATTTAGAAAGAGAACTTGTAAAGTTTGCCTCGAGTTTTAGTGTTTAATGATTTTTCCACATTTAGACTGTGTCTACAAATTGAGACTTTTCCATTTTTCTAGTTAAACAACTGGTCATTTCAAAGCTTCGTGTTGATTATTTTTCTCCACTGAATTGACCAATTTAATTTGCTCAGGGGCAATAAAGAAACACAGTATAATAGACAAACTAAAAGTGACTACAAAATAATGTTTCACTTTGGCTACTTACTGTTCACTTTTGGCCATATGACCAGAATTTTATTTTCACAAATATTAGAATTGGAGTTTCCAGTGGCTGAAGCCAGAGAAGTCCCAGAATCCTATTTGAAAATAAAGTATTGTCATGCCTGACATTAGTTAATAAAACCGACTAAGATGTCTATACTGGATCAGCAGTAAGTTGATTCTTTCCCACAATCAACAAGTTTTACATTCTATCATTGCACCACAGAAAGTAGCCTGGCTGCAAGGTGACCTTGGCCTGGATCTCAGCGCCTCCATAGGCAAGTCACATACTTCTTTGTAACTCCATTTCCTCATCTGTAAGACAAAGATTGATGATGAAATGAGGTAGTAGATATAAAGTGCTTAGAACAGAATCTTTCTCAAGTAATCAATAAATGTTTGCTATTATTATTATTGTCATTCAACCTAATATTGATATTCAGATTTTTCACTTTTAACATGTTATGCCACTTGCCTGAAATAACCTTCTCTTTCTGTCTTGCCTTTGTAAATTCAATACTTTCTTCATAGTTCAGCTGAACACCAGCCCAAGGTGATCTCTCTTTTCTCTCAACTCATATTGACCTTTTTTCCCAAATCACAGTTTGAGACATGTGTATATTCTCCAAAGATTTCTTACTTCCACACACAAAAAAAGTACAAGTTGCTTGAAGAAGAGGACAGCTTGCTACATTCCTTGAGTCTAGATTTGGCATGTGATGCACGCTGCAACCACATCACAATTAACTCACAGAATCCAAAGAGTTAACGAGCCAGAGCTTATGACATCCTTCATTTTTCCTGGTCAAGTTAGAGAACTACATTGTTTCAACAGAAATCTACTTTGTTTCTTTGAATTTTTGTTTGTTTTTGTGTTATTTTTGCTTAAACACAACAATTGATGTTCCTTTAATGGTGACTTTATATAATTCTGCCTTTGGATTACAAAACACATTTTTACTCACTAAAATTCTTTGGATTGAGTCCAACAAACTCCAGGATTATGTAGTGTTTTCCTCTATACTGCAGCCTTTCCAAAACAGGTTTTATATCTTAATGTCGCATTGCAGAATATACACACAGATTCTTGAAAATGTCTGTCAGGCTCCTTCAATTCCCTGAAGCCAAAACAAATATGTCTACTATTATTGGCACAATTAAGAATTACAATTATTAGGCATGGCGTTTATATACATGAAATTCTTATTGTTAACAATGGGAATTTCAAATATTTAATATTTGCATATGGATTTCATTTGAGCCCACTAAGTGGCTTGGAAAAAGAGAAATAGTTGTCTGAATTATTACATGTCTAGAAAATGATCTTTAAATTTTTTAATTGCCTCATATTAGTAAAAACAATCTGTTTGCATATTAAAATGAAGCCTCGAAGAATCTGATTTCATTGCTTATTTCATTTTGTTACTTTGCTAAAATCATAGCTCTTATCTAGTTATCATTCATTTCTTCTCATCATAAACCAGAGTCCTTTAATTCTTTCACTGTGTCATAAAAGATTCAATAAATTCTGATTTGCATTTCAAATTCAGCTCTTTTTCCAGAAGGACATCAGATTCAATGACAATTACATCACTAATCTCTTTAGCACTGACAGTGGGAAGCCAAGCTCAAGCTCCTTCTGACTGAAGTCCTAAAGATGGAAGGACATGGAATGTTCCTTCTCAGCAAGGGTGAATTTTTATTTTGGTAAAATCTTCATTTTATTTTCATTAATGAATATGTGCTCATTTAAGCCACTTGCTTTGGTTAAGCATTTCACACTATTAGTCTCTTTCTCCTTTCATGAACAAATGAGCATCTCATTATTTTTGCTAAAAAAAGAGGAAACTTAACAGTGTTGATTAAGCACAGTAATCTGTTGTTCTTGTTATTGGTGTTATGTTGGAAATATTCAGGAAATTATATTCACATAATTTGGGGAAGTATTTTTCCATTTTGTTGTTGTTTAACCAATTGTAATAACATAAATGTAAGTGCTCATGTATGTATATGTGTGTATATGTATGTATGTGGAAATAGTATCTACAAATATTTTGACACCTAGTTTCAGAGACAAAGATAAATCTACCTCTTAAATAAATGTACTGTGAATTAATTATTGTTCTTCTAGATTCTATATACAATTTCCTCTATCTTAAAAGACTTGTCACAATTGGAGTCAATAATACTGCACAAATTACACACAGTTGAAGCAACTGTATTTCTGGTACTTTATAAATGTTGCTATCTCTGTGAAGGAAGAAACAATTTAAAGTAAATAAACATTGAAGTCATTATAACAATTTAGTATAGACTTTAATGAAGTAATTATCAAATATTCCAATATGCACATAACATGGGCAATGAATAGAAACTAAAGAGAATTTTCAAAAAGAATATCAACTTCCAAACTATTTGGTTATGTTATACTGAATTAAAATAATTTTCTTTAATTTGTACAGTGGAGATTTTAATGTATAAAATTTCCTGGCTTTTAGCATATGAACTTATTTTAAATCCTAATTATTTTACCTATATCACAATTTTAAGCTGTATGCTATTCAGATAATAGCTACTAGCCAATAAGTATTTTTAAATTACTTTTTACGAATAAGACATTTTGCGTTAAAAGTACATTTTAGAAAGCATAGGGGTAATGATAGGTGGCAAAGTACAAGATCACAAAAACCAAAAGAATACATGTTATTTCTGTATTTTTTAAATTAATAGATCTGTTTTGACTACACTGAACCTAGTTCAGTCAACCAACTATTATAAGCACTTATCTTTTCAAGTATAAAACAGGTACTGAATGAATGCTTATTAAATTAAATTAAGGAGAAAAAGAGTCAATAAGTGACTCAACTGGTAGTGACCAAGAAATTCTGTAACTATGACAGGATAAACTGGTCAATTAACCAAATGAATTGTTTGATTCCATCGTTATTTTTTAATTCAAACATAATGGAGTTACAATGGAAAATCTTAGAAAACTTAGTATCGAAAATACATTGAAATCTAAAATAAAATCTACAACAAAATATGGATATATTTCCAGGTTAATTTAGTGAAAATTAATTTCCAGGTTAATTTAGTGTAAAATGCCTAGTTAAGGACTTGGATGTACGTGTGGGCCCAAGCATTCAAATTTATTTAAGGCATATACATCTTGTACAGGGGAGCCTTCAGAATGAAGCCTTCCTAGGGGGAAAGAAGGAAGGAAAGAGTAAAGGAAGGAAGGAATTTAAAAATTGATTAAACAAATAAATAAGTATTCATTTATCAAAAATAGTGTGTTGGCTGAGCTTGGTGGCTCACATCTGTAATCGAAGCACTTTGGGAGGCTGAGACAGGTGGATCGTTTGAGCTCAGGAGTCTGAGACCAGTCTGGGAAACATCGTGAAACTCCATCTCTACTAAAAATACAAAAATTAGCCAGGCATGGTGGCCCATGCCTGTGGTCCCAGCTACTTGCGAAGCTGAGGTGGAAGGATCTCTTGAACCCAGGAGGCAGAAGTTACAGTGAGCCAAGATGGCACCACTGCACTCCAGCCTGGGTGACCCTGTCTCAAAAAAAAAAAAAAAAAAAAAAAAAAAAAGGGGTGTTGATACTAACAACGTAATAAATAGCAACTTTTCATGTATAAGTTAGGTAAATATTTCTTTTGCCCCTCCCCTTTCTTATCTAAATCCATTACTTTGCACATTTTTTGAGAGAATAAAACATGAATTTTTTAATTACTATCCTGGTCTATTACTGCATAATAAAATAAATTTTTCTTAGTTTGTAAAAACTGAATCGTGAATTATCTGTATAACTCTATATATACAGTATGTGTGTGTATATGTACACATAATTAAAGGTTTGTTAATTCTGGAAAACAGTACAAAAATGAACTTCTGTGCTAAACTGCAACTAATATTTTTATTTTCTATAATCTGATTATATAAAAAATATCAGTAATGAGCTTAGAGTACATAAATTATTCTCTGGGTGTTAATTGCACTCACAAAGCTACATCTGCTGACACCAAAATTGCTAAATGGAAAAAAAAAGATATCTGTATTATTACCCAAACAATGCCCGTTTATACAGATATTAAGAAACAGTTGTTTGTTACCTTCCAATTAAACATATCTAAATGTTTTGTGTCATAACAACCAAATAACTGAATGACTGACTAAATTCTCTAGCAGGATGTTTGTGCATTATGTAGATAGAACCAATGAATTACTGTACTTTTACAATGCCTGGATAAATTCTCGGAAGTTTTTTATATGCACAAAGACAATGCAGTTGTATATGACCTTGTTATTACATGTGAAGAATGTTAAGTCTAGGAGAGATGAAACGTTTTCTGATTTTCAGGAGATAAATGTGTAAACACATTTTTGTTCAAAAATGATCTCCTTTTTTTCAATATGCATAGTCACTGAGAGAGACCAGAAAATGTCTCCTAGTGGAAAAATAGGGCAATGGGAGGACATAGTTGGCAAGCGAGAGAGGAGATGGTTGACGGGGCATAAACAGAAAAGATCCCAGAGGCAAAAATTGTATGGGAACAGCTAGTCATGGATGAAGGGGCATATGGGGAGTATACAAACTTGGAGAAGACAAAATTGTGCTGAAACTGACCACTTCTAGTTCCTGAATCTAAAATCCACACATTCACCTGTCCTGATGCCCTGGAATTTCAATACTCCAGACATAGCTGTTACCATGCTGCTTTAAAAAAGTGCAGCGAGCTAATGCAGTGTGAGTTAACATTCACTGAATTAATCAAAAGTTTTTTCCTAAACAACTGCCATTAAGAGTTTAAGAAAACATCACTTCAGATGCACATTTTAGGTGGAGGCTAAAATGAAAAGGTAAGGTTTTGAATAAGATACTACAGGGTCAAAAAACTGTTGTAATACAACCTCAGTTATTCACCCTGTAATTTTTACACACATGTATATTTCCACAGAAAAATAACTAGGGAAAAAGCAACTCCTTAGTTGAGTCTTTAAGAGAATTTAAGAAATTAGATTCAGAAATAGATTTGAATACACAGACCATCCTGGCAATTCCTGTTTTTTCAAGGAAGAGTGTTGCCATTATATATGTTACTGTCCACATTGTCTGTTTCACTCTGAAGAAATCTTTTAAAAGCCAGCATTGCTGCAAATCCTGCCACAACTAACCATTAAGCTTTTTTTCCAAAAGTATTGCCATTGATTTGTACTTACCAAAGTCTATTATATATCTCATGGGTAAGGCCTTTAATTGTATGCAAATAATAAAAAAACATATTGGAAATATGAATAAAATAAAATATAACAAAGTTCTATTAGGCTGCCCATTATCCTCAGTGGCTTTCTCTTAAAAAAAAAAAAAAAAAACACACACACTTAAGCTTTTCCCTTATTTTCTTAAAATCATATTTTCGTACTTATACACCTAGAGGAATTAGTAGAGTAGACAACTGAAGGCCTTAAATAACCCAGAGAGCAGAAAATACATGGGACTATTCCTGAAAACACTAGAAAAAATTCTGAGAGGTGTGGTTTACTATAATATTCAATAGTATTAAAATAAATAACTTAGTTTTAAAAAAATAATAATATTGAACATATTGAACTGACTTTTTAGAATAACAGTTTCGAATGATTTTAGCCAGGGACTTCTCTGACATTCAACTAAATTTGATAGACTTGGCTTCTTGTTTCTTTTGCCTTTCATACCCGAAGGCCAATACTTAAAATAACTCCAGATTCAGGTTCTCTATATTTTCCTCATCTGTGTTCCCCAGGATATTTCTTCTAGCCCTTACTCTGCCTGCATTTCTCATCCATCAAAAGAACTATCCATCTCATTTTTCATTTGTACTACATTCTCACCATGCTATCCTTGAAATCCATTCTATGGGACCATGTTCTATGTGAAAGTGCTATAATTACATCCTTCTGGGTCATTTGGTAATGAACCCATCTGGATTTGATCCAACATACACTAGTTTTATACCAAATCTGACCTATTATGGCTAGAATTACATTAAGGTTCCATTCTAAGTCCTTTCTTATTAAAATTGTGAACTGTCATCCTAGGATTTTAAGCAACAAACTATGAAAACTAAGTTTACATAAGGATAATTAAGTTAAAGTACACACTTTCAGGTGTGACTTTCTTAAGAGTGAGCCAGAGACAAAGACAAATA